TACAGCATTTCTCTCCTTTTTCATACAGTGACATAATATTGAGAAGAAAAGAGATTGCAAGAAAATAAGTAAAAAGACATAAATAGGATTATGTAGCAAAGAACGTACTTGACTGCTCCTTGAATTTTTCAGAATTCTTTTCCACGACAATAGCTTCAGGAAGGCAATTGTTCATCACCTTTAAGTCGTGTGCACCAAGTTTCCGATATCATTATCAACACACACACACGTAGATATATATATATATATATATATATATATATATATATATATGCAGACATGGTGGCTGAGTGGCCGTAGCGTTGCATATAGTCCAGTAGATCCTCCGTAAGCGGTCACAACGTGGTTTATTTCGACGTTTCGGCCTAGAGGTCTGGCCTTCATCAAGATGAAGGCCAGACTCTAGGCCTTCATCAAGATGAGACTCTAGGCCGAAACGTCAAAATAAACCACGTTGTGACCGCTCACGGAGGATCTACTGGACTATATATATATATATATATATATATATATATATATATTATTTATAATAGCGCTGCGTAAAAACAGCTGACTGGTGCTTCCTCTGTGTCTGAATTTATTACAGCATAGATATATACAAAGAAGGGTAACAGTTCTTATTTTGTAACGCTGATAATTTATTTAGTGGAAAAGCCACGTAGGCGCACGCAGACAATGACATTTAAGCACATGATCGCCAACAACAGCACATTCCAAAGTTTATCTTGCCTGTTTGCTACTGTCTGCCATGAGTTGTACGTCAACAGGACTACAAGAGCCGGAGCACAAGGTATCTCCTCGACGGGTGAAAGCTCTGCCGTCATTAGTACACTTGTCATTTTACCATAGTTGCCTTTTTTGTGCTGACGCAGCGCAAGCGTCTCCTTGGGGTTTTTTTTTTTCGTAGGAGATGCGGGGTTATGCACACAAAAGTACCTTTTTTGTGCTCCAGCACACCTGACACAATCCGCATTTTCTTCGCTTTGGTGAGGAGTGCATTTCAATTTCTCGCATCACAAACCGTATGATGGTGTTTTGTTCTGTTTGCTTGTTTTTCTATTTTTTGTGGCTGGCTATTTATGACAAATATCAATGTCACTTCAGTGATTAACAAACTTAGTCAACTTGGTCACGGCTTTAAGTGGCTCACAGTTAGCTGGGACTTCCCAGATTCAATGGTTTTTGAAGAATGTCGCCTGAGTTTGATTCTATGGGTTCGCCTGTGAATGTCCTCCAGTAGAGCTGGGTTACTATACCTAAGTGACTTTTGTTCTTTCATGAGTTATATGAGTTTCTTATGACATTCGGCCACTGCGTCACAGGTATCCTTATTGTACTGAACGCTTTTCTCGAGCGCTTCGAATTCATCAATAACCTCCTTTTTGAAGTTGGCCAGGCTTTGTCGTGAACTGTCGTGGTCCTCTGTATCGCCACATTTTTTTATTTCGGAAGCGGAATGTTTAAGGAAAATAACTGAAAACAAGACCGAGAAACACGCAGCTGGAAACACACATGAAATAACCTGTCAGATTAGATAGCATTATCTATAGTGCATATTGATTGTATCTTTACCTTTCATTTCATAGCTTTCAATCAAGTTTCGAAATTAGATTAGTTAAAGAGCAGTACATGGGCTGCAACACATATTGAGTACTTTTACATCATCAACAGTTCTCTCGCTTGACGTGTAACTTTTCTCATTTTCGAAAAAAAATATTGATCTGAAAGATCTATTATAAAGATTCATGTTGAGATCTGCGCTATAAGAACAAGCTACACTTTTGCTTGGTTCGCTTGAAATTGTCTTTTTATAGTGCAATAAGTCTTGAAATAGATATATAGGGTGGGAAAGACAGATTGTCACTGGATAAAGTAAAGAATACTCCAACACTGAATAACTGGGTAGTGGTTCTGCCGTTTAGTTGTAAAGGCTCCCCGCCATTTCAGCAGCATTCATGTTTCTGTGGAAGGCTAAATGGCATGTGCTATTCCATTAGGTAATGTTACGCATGTAAGCGCAGCACAGTGAGCATGGACGCTGAAAAAGCGGCATCTAAAGAACCTGCTCTGAACTCTCTCGGGGCTACTAATACGAGTATATGCTTGCAAGATTCGCACAACGACATAAATCATAATTTTTTGAAGCTGCAGAGCACCCTGTACGCTATTTTTCGTCGTTCTGCCGTTCTTATCACTTTTTTTTCTTATGTGTTTTTTAAAGAGAAAAAAAAAGAGAAAAGTGAGCCCCGTAATTTTCTGCATCAGCATGCGACACCCCAGCTGTAGCTCACAAGGGATGGGGGTGAGGAGGGATTAAAAGGATAGAACTAAAGGTAAAGAGAGAGAGAGAGGGAGAGATGCGCTAGGACAGCGAGAGACGACAAAAGAGAGATAGGAAAGATGGAAACACGGTCACAGGAGTCTGAGGACGGGGCACCACTTGAGAGATCTCTTGTCGGTGACAGGAGATGGCGTAGGGCTAATCCAGCCGGCCAGAGCTGCGCTGACGTCGTCGTAGAGACCGGCGGCCGAAGGTGGCGTAGGACCAACCCAGTCGGCCAGAGCTGCGCTGTCGTCGGAGATCGAGAGGGCACAACCGGTAGGCACGGAATCCAGCGAGCAAGTCCTCCTGTCGTTAAGGAAGGCACGCGCTACGCATTTGCAAGACATTACGCGTACTTTGTTGTAGTGGTAGCCGATACAGGTGAAGAACTTTGGCTTATCCCTTAACAATGATTTGGGCCAATCTCCTGCATTAGGTATGAGCCATAAGAGAAGAAGAAAAAAAAAAGAAGCATTCAGTGACCCCCTCGTGGCGAAATTCTCTATCACTAATCCATTCATGAAACAGAACGTACCACTGGATGAACACAAATAATTTTTTGTTCCCCTTCTTCATCCCTACTATCTTTCAACTCTGGCATTTATAATCCTCTTGCCCTTTTAATTTTTTTATGTTCGTTATAAAACATCTGCTTTTTATCTGATTTGTCTTTCTTTTGTATTTCAATTTTACGTTAAGAGGTACAATGTGACAATCCCCCTTGTAAGTATGAGCCAAGATCTTTTAGGTGACAAAAAAAAAATTGCAATGAACGGCTAGTTACAAAATTCGCCAAGTGTGACACCTGGTTGCTATTCTAGTCTTTTGTACCACATTATATTACACATAGTAACGTGGTTCTAGATTGCACCTGCACAGGGTGTTTTCACAAAAGAGTTTCTATCACAGGTGTGGCTGTGTGATATATTCTAGGCTGCCGCGGAAAGGACACAGGTTTGGACCAACGTTCGATTCTTATTATTCGTTCTGATTTATTTTTCTTCATTTTTTCCCTATTTCGAACAAGGGCCATTACGGACATCAGCAGCGGTGGCGGCGGACAACTATATACGGCGCCAAAAACGGCGCTTGTTGTGATCTCTAAACAGCTTTCACCGTCAAACTCACTGGACAGCCGCCATGCGAGAGGACTCCCGTTACATTAAGAATTAAAAGTATAATTCGAAATTGAAAAGGTTAACGCCGATTCGAGGCGCCTATTTCTACTGCATTTTCAATTATGCGCAAGCGTGTTTCATAATTCACGTAAATTATTAAACGAGAATATTCGCCCATGGTGGCTACTCGAGTGTAGCGTCTGAAAATGCTGTATAAGCAGCAAAGTTTATTATTTGTTTATTTATTATTTAGTTACTATTTATTTATTTATTTATTTACAGAGTACATAATTTGCTATAGAGAACTTATTTAGGGGGTAACAAAAAAAACAATCGGTACAAAAGAATTCATAGCAAAATAGATAAACGCACATACAAAAAAACACCGTCACATTTATCAGAACATAATAATGAATCACAAATACATTTTAATACACACAGAACATACACAATGCAAGAAGAATTTCACAGCATAGAAAAAAATTATTATTTTTTTATATTAACCAATTCGTCTCTTAAGCTGTTCCACTCTCCTATTGTTTTCGGATAGAATGGTCCTACGCTGTGCCAAGTGCTGTCCCCGCGTGGGACCATAGCGGTGATTCATGTTGTATTGGCGCCCGAATGTCTGGTCGGCCTCCACCACTGCGGTATTTTTCAAGTCGATCAACACAAAGGCGCTAACGAAAGAGAGAAAGCAAAACGTAGGTTGGAGATAACACATCAGGCTGACCATATAAAACAATGCAAATGGAGTGATAGAGAGAAAAAAAAAAAACAGGGACACCACTAAAACTGAACAGACAGACCGAAGCGTGGCCCGGAACAAAAAAAAACTGCACGAACAAATATGTACGACCATAAGCGTTGTTGCCCGAACTGCCGGTTGAACGGACGCAGGCCAGAGGGCGTCGCTGCTGGGAGCAACTATAGTGGGCATGGAGGCCACGCCGACGCTTGTAAGGAATCACTCACGCGAACGGTATACACTCGACCGGCAAGGTCGAGTGTGCGTCGCGCTGGCGGGCCAGGTAGCCCCGCGCAAATAAGCGATACACCTGACTGGGACCCGCAGCCTGACTCTTCAGCAAGCACTTACAGCTCGCCCCTTATCTCGTCCGTGGCTCGGCGACGGATTCGCCTGTTTGAGATCGAAAGGGAGAGAGCGCTTATGGCAGACACGAATGCAAAAAAGCGAACTTCCACGAGCTTGAGCAGGCTTTGAACTCCCGGCGCAGTGTAATGTCCTATCGGCGCTCCCCGGACGCCACACGCCTCGCGGCCACGAAACGATCTCTCATCAGTCGCGAAGCGCTACAAGCGTGCCGTTCAAAGGAAAAAATTGAGCGGCATTACTTCTCGGTTAAATGAATTAGGCACTCCCGTCAGCAGTACGAACGCACGAAGGAGAGGTCCGGAGACCTTGCTTTATCTATACGTGCACCCAACGTCACCTCTCTCGGCCTGTGTGCGCGTGTCTCGTTGGGAGAGGGGAACGCTGTTCGCAGAAAGGGCGAACACCAAGAGTGTCGAAAAAGAAAACACACCGATAGGAACACACGCGAGTCGGTGGGCTTGGTAAGGGAGAAACGCTCCGACACGAATGTTCGTCTCGCTTTCGTGTGCAATGAGCTTGTGCGTGACCAGCTACCACGCTACGACACGGTGAAACATTGAATACTTCCGCAAGTCATTCCCGTAAGTACAAGTTAAATGCGTGTTTTTTCCAATCGCTACTCAAACGCGAGCGTATTTCACGTTCTGCGCTTTCGAAATGACACCGTAGTTTCATTTCTTTGCGTGCTCACCCAAAGGTCGTGGATCCGATCCCGCCAGCGACGGTCGCATTTCGATGGCAGTGAAATGCTAGAGCACCGTTTATTGTGTGATTTCGTTTCCCTAAAAGAACAGGTGGCCGAAATATCTGCAGCCTTCTACTGCGCGGCATGCCTCATAATGATGTCAGGGTTTTGTCACGTAAAACGCCAATTATTGTTTTTAATTTGAATCACTCGAAAGAGGCGCTTCATTCTTTGTATAGAAGGAGCATAAGTTTTGTTCGTCATACCAAGACGCCGCCTTGCGTAACCCAAGATGCACCGTCGTTTCCACAGTTATTTTGTTCTTGCAACTAAAACAGGCTTATAAGCCGTATTCATTTCCCGCATCAGGTATTTGCTTCCGCAGATGCTACGCGGCCATATTTTCTTTTCCTTTCAAGCCATGCATGATGTCACACTGAGGGAATGACACTTCTGGCGCCCACGGCGGCGCACTTCAGGATTATGAGGCAGCCAGATCTTATATACGGCGGCTTACTAGAATTTGCTGGCTTTGTGTTCATCTTCCTTTTTTTTTGCTTCTATCAACGCTGCTTCTGAAAAGTAACGATCGCCGCCGTTAATTAGCGCAAAGTAAGAATAACGAAGAAAATATGAAGTTTTGAGTATTTTTTTAGAGCCGATAAGAACACAGACGCAAATAAATTAAAACCTCAGCTGTAATGCCGCTATACCACTCAGTTGTCCATAAAGAATCGGGCGACTGCTCATAAAATATCTTTGGCTTCCCGGGATTTGAACATACGCTAACTGTAAGGCAGTTTTATGACAGAGGTGGTTGTAAAAAAAAAGAAAAGTGAATGCTCAAACTGCACTGTCTTGGAGAGAGAGTTCTTCGAGCCAGTTCGTCGCAAATTTTAGGAAATGGCGTAGCGAAAGTTTTCGCTGATGTCGGTGTTACGTGCCTCGTTACCACTCTTGTGATACAGAGCCTTGATCTCATATCTCGGCGTACTGCAAATGGGGAAGCTGCTGAAGCTAGTTGCGGTACAGCTCTAAACGCTCGACACCCGTGTTTTTCAACGGTTGCGCACTGCAACAAGTCTTTCGAACTTGTCTTAACACCAATTAATGCAAGCTTTTCAATGCGGTCAATGTAAGAGAGTAGCTGTCACGAGCATTGAACTATTCACTGAAGTTTGTAAATCACACGTCAACATTACAGCACCACTGTCATTTCGGTATTTTTTACAGAGATTCAAAGCGCGCTGGCTTCATCGTGCTGTCATGGCGTAGAGATGCACATGAGTCACGCGCGCAAGAAATGTTTATTAACGCTCAGAAAGCAAAGAAGGCCCGAATAGTTGCAACAATATGTTCCGCCCAGTGGGCTGAGCTAGAACAAAAGCGGGACTGGTGGGCTCCACGTTGAGGGGAGCACTAGCTGATATTGCAACTTTCACAAGTAATCAGCCACAAACTTCATTCTCTGCGCTCCTACACCTGCCGCAATACTCTATGGTGGTGCAAGTGTTGACCTGGAAAGGGTAAAAAACGCACGTAACTTCGCATCTGTATAGTTCTTTTAATGCGAAACATTTACGACGTGGGTTCCGTCGACTTAGCGTGCACTACATCAACGCCATACTGTTCGTGGCTGCTTCCCTGAGACTCCTCGAGGTCGTCGTGGTGGTTCCCGCTAAAGTACCATAAGAGAATTGAGACAAGATGCTGCCCCCTCCCCCCTTTTTCTTCTGAAGCTGATATGACGTATGATTAAGACTCCTGAAGAGAAATGTGCCTAAACGGAACGATGAAGGAAGTAGCTGTGGACATTACAACGACGTCGCTTAGTGGCACACATTAATTAATATTGTGCAAGAAGAGGTGTGCGTGGGCGAGAGGTCCAACAAGACGACTCGCATCGCGAAGCGAAGACACAGAGAGAGAGAGAGAGAACATAAAAAGGAAGGCAGGGAGGTTAACCAGGGATGAGCCCCGGTAGGCTACCCTGCACTGGGGAAGGGGAGAGGGGAAGGAAAGTTATGGCATTATAGCATAGTTATTGCTTTAGCGCAGCTCAGTTTGGGCGTAAAGGAAAGATACTATGCAGATGATATGCAGCTGCGCTAAAGCAATATCATTTTGTCATGCATCAACTCGCTCAGTGAGCGGTACTTGTCGAATTTAGTATAGCAGAAGCAAAATACTTTCATTTCAGCCAAAACTAAAGGCCGAGCATTTCGATCACCTGCGTGACTAGTCGATGCTGTTCTTCCTCACCTTCATTATATGTATGTTTTGCTTTCCACAAAACCAATAGAGATGCGCATAAGGCGAATGGAGGAAACAAGCGGCTTATAACTGGTGGACAAGCCCCCAAAACCAGTACAAAGCAAAAGAAATAATGCAAGAGCTGAAGAGCCGAAATAATCTTTCTACAGCAGGTCATATATGTATAATATTTATACTTGATACATAATAAACGAAATACAAGTAAATCTTGTCCCTATACTGTAAAACAATAATGAAGGGATTTTACTTGCACACAAGATAACAAAATCGAAAATGGCATGAGATCAACACGAGAAACGAAATACATTACCAACAATCTGGTCGTTCAGCAAATGAGGTAATCTTGAGGACAACATTTGAGGTCGCTATATATTTAGTACGGTAATCTTGTATACTCACAAATATACTGGTCTGCTGTCGCGTATCGCAGGACCAAAATAAAGTTCTTTTCCTTTCTTCCTTTCTTCTAGTAATATAAGTCGCTTCATTCTGCGTCAGATCAGCCATGGGAGCAATGTGCGCGACATTTTTTTTTTCTGCAGTAAAAAGATAAAAGCAGCTCAAACGAAAAGTTTTAAAGTAGAATGTACTAAATTAGAAAGGGGCTTATACCCTAGATGTATTTCGGTACTAGTGCACACCAAGTGAGCGTTGTAGGCACATGCACCAGCAGTTTCGTAGTGTGCTTTTTGTCTGTGATGAGGCGCTGCGGGGAGGTTTTCCTGCCAAACCGTATTCAATAAAGAATTGTATCGGGCCAGTTGGTATGAATTCATCTTGGTAGGAAGCGCAGCCACTTTTACACAGAACAAACAACACAAGCGTTTGTGTTGTGTGTTCTGTGTAACAGTGGCTGCGCTTCTTCCCAAGATGGAAACCGTACTCGTTAAGACCCGGGCGTGGTGACGCATGTTCTTACTTTTGCTCAGACTTGTGCGCCCTCTGTGTGTCGTGGGTTTATCAGCTCCGCTGGTCATTCACAGAATTAAATGGCTCGATTTTTTTTTCTGTTTCATATCTTTTGCGGGAGTGAAGTCGGAAAGGAGTTGCAGGATCTTGCGCAGTCTGACAGTTATCTATTATTTCCTCTTAGCTAATCGAACGACGAACGAAATGCCCCTTTCGGTGATCCTCAAAAGTGGAGAAGAGATTTTAGGCAAATACATATTTTGATCTTTGTGCTCCTATCACCCTGACAGTATATGAGCATGCCTGAAAGGTTCACAAGAACTATTAAAGTGTTATTGCAGTGCCTATCATTGGTTATTGCGGGGTTCGTGCCTGAATGCCTGAATATTACCCGCCATGGTAGTATACTGTGGCTACGGCACTCGACTTCCGACCCGCAGGTCGCCAGATCAAATCCCGGCTGCGGCGGAGGCAAAATACTTGAGAACTGTGTGCCTGCATTTACATGCACGTCAAAGAACCCAGATGGTGTAAATACTTGGAGCTCTTCACTACGGCGTCTCTTAATGATGTGGGGGTTTCGAAATGGTGAACGTAACAACTATTGCTAATGGCCTGCATATGCGTATTGCCACGTGGTGTCTTTTTGACGCGATTAATATGGGCTATAATTATTTTTGTCTTCCGCCTTCACATGCGTAAAACTGGGCACCTAGTATGATGATGCCTGAGTGATTGTATCGAGTTTTATGCTGCTGACTTGACGTGTTCATGAGAGACACCAGCCTGAATACAAACAGCGTGCAGTGCCAAGCCGCGGGCGTTCTTTCTTATGACACACGCTGAAGCGGTCGGTGCACCAGTCGGATACCAACGCCGATTTAAGGCGCGCGTGCCGCCCAAATGAAGTGGCTGTCCCAACACCGCTTTGGAATTCTTGCTCTACAAGTGACAACACTACGTGACAGTACACGCACCCACTGTCGACATCAACGCTTAAGTGAACTTATTTAGCGTAAAGTTTTGCTATCGAAAGTAGTTTAAGACCTTTATTCATGTTGACGGGAAACACTAACTATTCGAGACAAAGGAGCTTTACACACAACTTTCGCAACTCTACAGGGTTGAAATTACTGCTCTTGCTGTAACATACTTTGTGCAAGTAACCGATATAGTGCACTGGGACGCGCCGTAGAGGGTACGCCGTTCGCGGTGACACGACGGGAGTTGTTGGCGAATGTGAAGCCGTGGAGAGCTATTAGAGGAAAAGATAAAGCTGATGAAGAGAGAAAGAGAAAAGGAAAACTGGACGTGCGCATGACTTCATAAGGTTTGTAATTTACTTTTAAGGTGGCCACCGGACAAACTGGCTTATGCGCTTCCACCTGACAAACAGACGCCATCTCTCGGTTCTGGTCTCTTATCGATCCGGCTGTTCCTGCTCTGCCACTCTCATGTTTGTCGAAATGACGTGCACCCACGCGTGTGCCAATTTGGCTGCAGACACTTGACTCGCCGTGGTACAGAATAAGTGGAAAGACCATGTGCTGTTATAATGGGGCCGGAAAAAGAGGATTTCGCGACTGTGTTACACTGTCCGTGCCCTTGTGCCCCCGTAAATGATAACATTTATTTTATCCTTTCGTAGACACAAGGTCTCACGAGTCTTCATTTTAAATTATTTGCATTTGCGTAAAGCCTTACTGTCCGTGT